GTCATGTATCATATTCATTTACTTCTACACAGTTTATGTTTATTCAAATACCAGAATAATTATTATTTTGAATTGAATAACTAATGGAAACAGAGGAACAACTTCGTATGAAGGACTATTTTCCTATACATGCTCTTTTGATCAATTGTTTGAAGCAAATTTCAGAAAAAAATAATAGATTCAAAGAACATGACGTCTTCTTAATAATTACGATCACGGATCAGCTTATCTCTGTGTACATCAAGAAGCTACCATGTCTTACTAAATAAAAACTAAAAATAAAATGGCTGCCGTTGATTCAAAAGGACGCGCACGGATCCGAGGCAATGTTGATTGATCAAAGATTTCCACCAACAGGTGACAACTTGCAATTTACATATAAAGAGAAAATAATTATGTGTCTCACGTGCCCCAGTGTCCCAACTGTTTTCTTCTCGAAACTATTAACAAAATAGAAGAAATGAGTAAGAGATTTAAAACATAAGATATACAAAAGAATTCTAAATAATCCACTCTATTGAATGAAATCTAGTAAAAGTCAATTATTTTATGCGCAAATGTATTTTTTGTTTAAATATATTCTGTAATCTATGTCGTTTTGGTAATAACAAAGAAAAGGAAAAAGAAATTTGATTTTTAAAATCCCCCCTTCTCTCACAGACAGGTATTTTTTAAGAAAGTGGTCTGGAAACAGCAATATAAGTCCCATGTAGTTGTACATTACAGGGTAAATTTTGAGGATAATTAGTAATTTCTGATCTTAATTATAAACAGAGGTGATCTTAATAGAATGTCTTAGAGTCTTAGAGTTTTCAAGAGTGTAGAAGGACTGTTATTCATTATATTTCAGCTTTGACTGTTAAAACTTTGGGAAACAATACACATACACTAGTATGTTATGTAAATGGTAAATGATGTATGTTATTTTTACTGCTTTATAAACATTTATATACTACTAAAATACTACTATTTAAATATTAATTGAATTAAAATGAATAATAACATGTAATTGGATTAGTTAGTCACACGAAGTTATTTCCATGTTACTACTATAAGAGGGCTGTTCGGAAATTATTGAGACATTTACTTTTCCTCCTTAAAAAAGATAAATTCATGAAAATTCGTCAACATTTTTTTAAAGAACGGTTAAAAGATATGTGCAATATTTATTGTTAAAAAGATCATACGAGAAGTCCCGATGAAATAATAATGTTGCATTGACCTGTTGCAGCATCGCTACGTCATTTTAACGTCGTGAAGGCTGTAGATTTTTTTTTCTTATTGTTGAAACGGCCGGGAAGACTTAACTCTTCTGGTTGAATAATTTATGAGATAAAAATATATACAAATAAAAAACACAAACCCCTAGAGATGTTTTTTGCATTGTTATTGTTTTAGCATGTCGGTTAGTTTGGGCAGGAGTTCTCCTCAACGCTACACAAATTTTAGGAATGCTGGCTGCTCCGTCTTGACGTCAAAATTCAGTTTTTGCCGTCGTTATCAGTTGTCTATACCCAGATGAAAATTATTCACAATCTCCATATTTCTGGTCATATTTTATCAAACTTGCATAAAATAAGTCAAAATAAAATTGAAAAATTGCAAACGTAATTTAAATATTTTTCCGACTTACTACGGGTCCACAGGAACTTAGTACGTATACGAAGTAGTTACCGATTTTCATTATCTAATTTCCTGACTGCGCCGGGAACCCTACCGTCGACTCATTGATATACCATAGAAAAGAAAAATAAGATTTTTCTTAAATATTTCTTGATTTTGTTTATTATTAGTCTTTGTTAAACGTATATGCCAATTTTTGTTATAGGACCAAAAGGAGAATAAACACAATGTCTCAATAATTTCTGAACAGGCCTCGTATATGGTAGTAGTAAACATTAAGTTAAAATGTTTATCGAAAAGAACAATTGGTAAATACAGGTTCTTTCAAACTTTATTGATACTCCTCAAATACTGTCTATTGTAAATTCTTTTCAGTGAGTGATTAATGCTTCACATATATTGAAATGTGAAACTTTAATAGACGACTTTTTATGATTTCTTCTTAAGAACCATTGGACCAATTTCAACCAAATTTATTTTATAAAGAGCCAAGTCTTATTGCACGGGGAGGTATTAGTAATTATAGAATAGCAAAAACAGAGCAGGGGCATTTTTACTACAAAATAAGGTCTAAATCTCATAAAGGAATATACAGGGAAAATCTTCTCAAGTAAATAAAAGGCCACAATAAGCAATATTTATATGACAGCATCCACATTAAAGTTGTAGATATTGTTGTTTTTTTTTAACATGATCCCCGTGGTTAGGGTTTGGCACAAAAGGTAGTTTTAAATAGAAATATATAGGAACACAATTTTGATAAGAACAACAGGGCATCAACAAGTCATATTTATATTCATACAATTCCCAAATAATGTAAGTTTGAGTCTTTATATTATGGGGCCTTGAAGTAGACGGAAGCTACAATATGGGAGGAGGTAAGAGTTTGTTGAAATATATAGAAATTGAATTCAAAATCTTTTCAAGAACAGCAAGGTCAATGAATATACGAGTAAACATTGGAATAGATATTGAAATATCTTTCAAGGTCTTCTTTTGAACAGCAGTAACACAGTTTGATGTACTGACACACCATTCCCATTCATTAGATTAAAGTTTATTTGTATGAATCATGGGTTTTGATGCTAGGTTGGTGTCACAAAGTTAGAAAAAAAAGTACATAAGGATATATGGAGAAATGCTTCAGAGGTTTTTGAAGAAAAGCAAGGCAAAAAAATGTCATATTGAGATACAATAAACCCCAGTTTCATGTTTAGTGAAGCCTCGTTACCCCTGGGTCAAGTGTGCAACAACGACAATCAAAGTTTGATATGGGAATAAATAGGTAAATTCTAAAAGTCTCAAGTATGACCAATGTTACTTTTAAAGAGAACATGAGCTTCTTTTTATTGCTATCATTTTAAATAGCATTTACAGACAAAGAATTTTTTATCTAGCATTATACGAAGGGTAATCAAAAAGTTCTCTTTATTTACAAAACCACAATTCAGATCAGAATGTAATTCGGCTAATATATAGTCACACAACTGTTTTATAAATAGCAGATGTAATATAATGTTTTGCTCCGTGATTGTGACGTCACAATGTGAAAATGACGTCAATATGTAGGTGACTTGTGAAAAAAAATGATTGACTTAGTCGTACTCGAGCAACGAACGGCTGTAAAGTTTAACGTACGTATATCTTGGAAATTCCTTTGCAGTAGAATATGATAATTTGTACAAGGTTTGTGAAGACAAAAGACTTACCAGAAGTTCAATCATTAATATTGGATTGATTGTTTTAGTGAAGGCAGGGAAATGGTTAAAAATGATGTTTGTTCTGTTGCCCAAAGAAAGCAAGCCGGGGGAAAGATGTGTCCTTAGCTGAGCAATTTGTTATGAAAGATCTCCAAGTTACAATTAGAAAAATAGTTGAATATCTTAACAATAATATAATTATTGAATCCCTTAAATATCGTTTATTTTAGATTTTAAACATATGAGATATGAAAAAAAGAAGACGCCCCTAATTTATCCACATTGGATAAACGACGATCTCGAGACAGATGACTCGGGTTGTGATGCAAAATAAAGGAAAAAATAATAAACGTTTACTGCTTATTCAAATAAATGTTTAAACTCGAGTGCGTATACATGTATCTTATTCTCATAACATTCCGATATTATAAACCAATTTGTTATTCTTATCAATTGTAAGCAAGAAGATGTTTGAATCAAAATGTAATAGATAACAGTAGCTTTGAAAACATAGATCAATTATGAGAAAGGAGTAAATCTTAATATTAACAACTAACTCTAAAACTTTGAGATACAATGATATCTATGATATTCCATCTGTTCTTGTCATTGATATAAAAACATAGAAAGGGTCTTGCACCACTCTGTATAAGGTGGTAAAATTAGAATCCTTCGTTACAGCCACAATCATTATTGTGATGTCTTGTCGGCTCAGATCTTTCATTTTCTCCTCAACACTACTCAGGTTTGACCAACGACCATCTGTAATGATAACGATAACCTTGTTTCTTTTGAGACCAGATGAGAAAGGTTGAACAGCTGCATCCGACAGTTAACTTTCTATATTAGAATCCGTATTTTCCCCAGGATTAAGCTTTTGTAAGTCTATCAGAAATTGGACTTCTTGACTGTAATATGCAAAGTTGTTCACATCAAAAGATACTCGACCAAGTCGTATATTCTTTTTTGTAAGAAAATATTTGTGAACTATTTCTGTTGCAACACTCAATGAGTACTGGAAGACATCTTCAGACAAATTATTGTCCTGTATTATTATCACGTCAGTATTGTTCGAGACGCTGCAATCTGAAAATAATAATTTTTTTTTACTAAACAAAAAGTATGTTTGTCTTTGTATTTCTCTTTCAAAATGTTAGACCATTTAAAAGTTACTGAAGTATTTTCAACTAATAGGTCGACAATCATGTTTTTCGACATTAATTGATAGCTCAGACCTAATTTTATACAAAATTATTTACTGTAGAACAATTTACTACCAGTGCTTCGAAATTTTAATTAATGCATGGACTTATTTGTTTCTGATGTTTATAAAAACAAGCATTCTGAGAGTATTGCATTAGCAATACTAGTCCCCTACCGGCAAGTGTAATGTGGTTCCTGTTAAAAATTGAAAATGCCATAATTCCGTCAAAAATCAATGAAGCGGAACGAAATGCAAACTTGATCTATAACTCATCAAGGTAAAGTCACATACCAAAAATCAGCTCAATATCTGCAAGCGTTTAGAAAAAAAAGTGCGGAAAACCAAGTGGGACAGACTGACAGACAGACAGATAGACGGACAGCTAGACAGAGAGACAGATGGACAGAAAGACTCTGAGGAAACCTAGGGGTAGGGGACTAATTAACGACTTGACAACACTAATCAAAGCTTACTTGTACAATCTTCGTGCATAGCCTTTCTCAAAATCATATTCAGTGCGTCATCATTAGACGAGGAGAATACTAAAGGACCATAGATGTCCTTCTGATCTTTTGAAGCTAATTGGAAAAGTTCCGAATGGTCAATCTGTTCACCTATTCCAACTGCAATTATTACGTGATATGGCCACACCGTGAAGTTTTTTGCCTCGTTAATGGCTTCGTATCTATCTGTTGACAGGCCATCTGATATGATAATGATGATCTTATGAGCTTTCTGTTTTGCTTGTTCATCAAGTATCTAAAAAATAAATATAATAAATATATGTCAATGGTATTTTTAAAAAAAAATATTTTAATGAATTTCTTATTAAGTTATTTCATTTAAAATTATACAATCTTACTTCAAAACATTTCCTCAGAGCGTTCCCTGTGTATGTGGAACCCTGTGCCTCAAAGTGATTTCCCGTAGAAACTTCTTTAATCTTTTTAGCATTTTGATATTTGCCAAGTGTTATAAGTTCCTTTGGCTCAAAGACGTATGAAATAACTGCTACTTGAAAGGCTTCATTGCCTAGGGGCAATCCATCTAAAACTCTACCCAAATACTCTGAGCACATGGTTGTTTTGTTTTCAAAGATAGAAGAAGTGTCCACAACAAAGACAATGTCAGCAGGACCAGGGCTGCAATCTGAGATAATCATTTGTTACATTTAGTAGGTATCAACCCCATCTCTTTATTTAGAGCACGTAAAAAAGTGTATATTACTATATATGCATTCCTTATAATATTAGATACAATATAGGTTGCAGGCATATCCAATTATACCTAAAGAAAAAAGTCTGTAGATTGATGATGCTTTTAAGCAGAAACTCTGTTTTCAGAAGTAAAGGTTTTTAGAACCTTGGTTTCATTCCCTTACCCAACTTAAAATATACTTTTATTATAAAGCAAGTTCTTAGAATAATTTTAGTTCATCAACATCCAGAAAATTCATTGGTATTTAGTGCTTCACTAATTATAATTAACGGTCGATTTGTTCAAGTAATTTTATCTTGCAATGGCCCTTCTCGAAGTAAAGAAACATTATTTGTCTTTTTCATTTGAATTACCTATATCGCAGCAGGATTTATTGTTGAAAGTCAGATCACATTCACATTTATACAAGGTGAGGAAAAGGCATGCATTATCTAAAAAACATATGCAAATTAGACTTCTTTAATTTTCATCGAATATAACTACCCTTTAAATTGACTAAATAGTAAAACAATATTTTTTTTATAAAAAAAAAACCATTTACATTTACAATTTTAAATTTCAATTATCTATAGTCCAATAGTGTTTTATCACAACGTTCAAGTCGCCCGTGTATCGCAGCGGTTAGAGCGTTTGCTCTAGAGTCACTGAGTAAGGAGTTGAACATTACGTTGCAGGTTCAAATCCCAATGTGGGACGTGGAGACCGGTCCTTCGGATGAGACTGTATAAACCGAGGTCCCGTGTCGCAGTGGGTGACTGCACGAAAAAGATCCCTCACTGCTCAAAGGCCGTAAGTGCCGAGTATAGGTCAAAATTTGTAGCTCTCCACCAGCAAGTGGTGGCGTCTCCAAATGAGTGAAAAAATCCTCAAGAGGGACGTTAAACAACAAACAAACATAACGTTCAACGGAACATGAAAATAATAAGACCTTTTATGAACATCAAGCTTGTATTGAAATGTCAAGGTTAACCATTATCAAAATCGAACTTGTAAATTCTATAAAATCAGAATTTTGAAAGACTGGAAAAATGTCTGTTGACAAGTTTTTGTAGCATTTCATCTTTAATTTGCTGCTATACAATACATTAGTTAGCATTCTTATGATATGTGCTCAAAACAAGGATGGAAAACTGATAAACATTTCATTTGAGCAAAATAGTTTCTCTACATTCATATTTTATTATGTGTGTTTTGATTAAATACACTGACAAACATAACCATTGAGAATATTACAAGGGATGTCGTTCAACCAAAATATTCCGTCCTTTAAGCGAAGTTCTATGCAATCTTCGTTTTTAAGGTCGTTAGGTTCTCCTGCAGAGAATATAAAATATTAAAAGAAATAGTTTTAAGAATAAGATAGACAAAAAGAAATAAATAGGAAGACTTTGAAATATATAATGCATTTTAAAACTATGTAGATTACATGATCAGTAGGTACTGGTCCCAGCTGACAAAGCGGGTAACAACATTGTCTTTGTTTGTAAGGCTCATTACAAAGGAACTAGGATTTAATTTTGGAAGTGGAAATCCAGCTTATATTCATAGCTCCCTTTCTAAGGAAGAAATTCTTCAAATAATTTGTTAGTTCTAAATATTTTTAATATTCGCAACAAACAAAATGAATTTGAACTACCATATCTATACTGGATTCCTAAGCTTCATAAAAATCCTTACAAACAAAGATATAAAGCGTTTTCCAGTAAATGTTCTACCAAACCTCTTTCGTTACTCCTCACTAAAATATTAACAGCAGAGAAGGAGAAACTTGAGGAGTACTTTACAACAATATATTCGAGAAGTGGTCTAAATCAGATGTGGATACTCAAAATTTCCAAGGAACTTTTAGAAAATTTAAAATTTAACCAAAATCAATAACATTAACACGTATGACTTTTCAACACTTTATATATACAACAATGCCCCACGAAAATTTAAACTTCAGGCTTTTTAACATCATTGACAGCTGCTATTGCAATAAAAATGGAACTCGTTAATTTACTTGCCGTGTCATTGGTCATTTGCAAAATTACTTTGTTAAAAACACTCCGATTGTACACACAAGTACTCTGAAGTTGATATTAAAAAATGCTTGAGATTTTGATTGACAAAATCTATGTAATTTTTGGAGACCAGGTCTTCCGACAATCTATCGGAATTCCCATGGGTACCAATTCCGCTCCATTGTTAGCTGATCTATTTTTGTATTCAAATGAAGCAGAATTTATTCAAGAAGTTTACATGTGAAAAAGAAAACACTTGCTGTGGCCTTCAACTCGATATTTAGATATATCGACGACGTATTATCAATTAACAATAGTTACTTTCATTCATATGTCGACTCGATATATCCCAGTGAAATTGAAATAAAAGATACCACAGAGTCTGACACTTCTGTTTCACATTAGGATATTTTACTAGAATAGACGTTAATGGTAACCTAACAATAAAGCTTTATAATAAACCTGATGACTTCAACTTTTTAATCGTCAGCTTTCCTTATGTAGCAATATACCCTTATCACCTGCATATGGGGTTTATGTCTCTCAGGTGATTTGATACGCGATAGCATGAACAAATTGTTCATCTAAGGACACATCTCTTCCCCAGCTTGCTTTAACTGGACAACAGAACAAATATCATTTTTAATCATCCGTCTTCCTTCACTAAAACAATCATTCCAATTAATGATTGAACGTCTGGCAAGTCCTTTATCTTCATAAACCTTGTACTAATTAGTATATGCTACTGCAAAGGAATTTCCAAGATACACATTTTAAGCAATGAATCATTATTTTTTGAAAGATATAGTCTCATAACTGCAACGGTGTGTGCAAACAAATTGAGTAACGCGCGTTAGCGCGTTATGAAAATTTGTTTGCACACACCGTTGCAGTTATGAGACTATATCTTTCAAAAAATAATGATTCACTGCTTATATTTACATTTTTTAACTCCTTGCCTTGACTGCAAATGTGATTTATATTTAAAAATCCCTTTATTATCCTTCAAGTAAGTAACAGTTAATGGAAGAGCCAATGCAACAGCGTCTGTTCAATGTGAGCGTGATTTTTGATTTCGCTTATGACGTTGCACTTTCACGGCGTTCAACGTTTGTGACGTCAAAATAAAACGCATGCTTTAACCTTTTGACTCCCTGTCCGTGTTATGGTATTTTGAATGCCATAGATTTCCACACATTTTATAATACAGAGAGTCTTGTCAAAATTAACGATGCAATATAAGCCAATATTCGTTTATGTGATTTATTTTAACACATGCTATACTTACTAATAATGAAGGTGTAATCTTCATCAAAGCGTTCAATCGCTAAAGTTGCACCGAAATTTTTACACCTCTTATCTGCCTCAGACATGGTAACTTTCTCATTTTCAAATAAATAAGCAAGTTCGTTGTCTTGTCGAATCTCCCAACGGCATAATATTGAAGGGATGGAAAACCAAATTTCTTTAAATATAAGTGGAAATTTATTGAAAGACGTGAAAAGAGAGAGAGATAAAGAGAGAGAAGACAGAAAGAGAGGATACGTACCAAATGCTATTAATAGCCTCCAGTGTTTCATTTCTTTTTTCTTTTTTATTTTGACATATGAAATCCACAAGCATCAATTTTACGTAATGAAAATTAGGATAATGGAACCTCCGAGTAGCCAATACAGGTATATTTATCTGATCAACGATATTTTGGCATTATTTCAACATTAACGTCAACTGTTTTACAATTTAATCAATATGATATCAATAAATCCTGAAGTCACATTGATTAAAAAGTCCTGATATTCTAGATGGTATTTTGCCCATGCTATGGTAATAAATGAATCACTGTACATGAATAACTTGTAGGATAGTCAAATGCAACATCCTTACTTATATTTTAAGTTTTTTTTCTTACTATGACTTTTCGTTAGAGTGCAAAATGGAGAACTAATCAGAAATCTGATGGTTATTGTAAACATTGAATTCCATTTACTATAATTGTGGTCTTTATTATTTTTTTCTGTGAACACAAAGAATTTATTTGAAGTGACTCTGTCTCCCGACAAGAAATCAAAGATATTGGCTTCTTTGAAATCCGCCCTCCCTCATCGTGTGTGTCATATAATCATGTGTGAGGGTATGTGAGGGGAGGGGATGTGTTTGTATTTGTATGTAGCATTCTCTGTTTATAATTTACACATGGGCATTTTTGATTGATATTTAATGAAAGACGTTTAGTTTCATTTTTTCTTTTATCAGAGAACAACTGTGTATTTAAAACACGCATGCAATTATTTTGTAACGTTTCCATCATACATACATACATACATACATACATACATACATATTCTACCGGTTTTTAAAAGGGGTAAAAGGACAATCTCTCAAACTGAATAATAATGGGAAATGATATCAGATATATAACAATTCATGTATGGTATGCTAATTAATGGGTTTTTGCAAAGTTATCGCATCTTCCAAAAAAGAGAAAATAATAATAATTTAAAAAAAAAATTAGAAAATGAAAAAAATTGGGGAGGAGTATACAATCATTCCATTAGTTGTCTGCGTTGATAAATATGAATTATTTTTTTTTTTGGGGGGGGGGGGGGGCACTGTCAAAATGTAGAGTGAGCCAAAATATTTTAAAAAATTTAAGTAACTGATTTCTTCTGCAGTGTAATAATAATATAAAAGAATTGAATCAGAGATTTAAAGCCCAAGATTTTCAAAAGATTCTAAAGAATTCATTGTGTTGAATGGTATCTAGATAATGGTTCAAAGTGGGTGTAATTATTTTTTATGCAAATTTAATCCTCTTGTGTATACATGTATTCTGCAATCCGTGCCTTGTGGTAATAATGAAGAAAGAAATAAGAAATTCTGTTTTAATTGCATCCTTCTCTTGCAGAATCATATTTTTAAAAACGGTCTGAAAACAGCACTTAAAAGTTGCATTTATTTCTATATTACAAGGAGAAAGTTTGTGGATAATTCAAAATCACTGATATTAATCATAAACAGAAGTATGTTAAAATAATAGAAAGTCCTGGGTTTTCGAGAGCTAGTCTATAAACACTGATGTTGAGTGATTTTACTCAATAAACAATACCATCATGCTTTGTAAATATTAAATGAGGTATAATATTTTAAAAGTAATTTTATAACTATCATCATTACCAATTAATTGGATTAGTAAGTTCTTCAAGTAATTTTTATGTGAATACATGTACTATATATACAAGTTTATTATACCTCTATTAAGAATACTCAAATTTGATTGACTTGTAAAAAGGCTTTTAAACTCAATAATGACTCCCAAAATTACTGTTTACAGCAATTATGACCTAGGAATCCTTGACGTGAGATATAAGATCCGGGCATTATAAATAATGACCCTCAAAAATGACCTGTTAATCTAAATTCTATTCAAATGAAAATTTATGCATGCAGTAACGTTTGTTCATTAAGGTATGTCACTCGTGACATGAGTTATGGAATTTTTGAGAAGTAGATAATTGCTCATATAGCATGACTCAAAATCGCAAAGAAAATTGGGGGTCATTGTGCATCTAACTGAGGAACGGTACAATTAACTTGACCTTTTTGCACTTAAATGGTTAATCACTTTTACCCTTATAATATTTTATCTGATATTATCAGGTCAATAAATATAATCTTATTTTATGTAAGATAGTTTGACTAATATTTTTTATTGAAATTTTTTCAAATTAATGCGCGTTAAGTTTTGTGTGACCTTTTTGCACTAAAAAATATCCATTTTGGATATTAAAAAATCTACATAGCTAATGCAGACTACGTTCTTTTATTCAGTAAAAGTCTGCACAAGATTGCCATTGTACTCGGGAATGGTAATTGTGAATTTATAAAAATGCATGTTACTGACAATCACAGATTGCAGGTGCGTAGCAACGCAGGCTAGGTTAAGGACTCCCATAATTATTTACGTCAGTCTATGCAGAGGTTTGGGAAAGCTATTAAGACGTCACGTTTAAACAATACAAATGAATTTCGATGAACAAATACTATATGTTCTTTTTAAAACACTCTCAAATATTTTCGTTTCTCATAAATATTAAAAAGATAAATGGATGTGCAACTAATCTTGCCAAAATAGCACTAAAAGTATGTAGAATGAAAGCCAGTTTGATCTCGCTGTACTTACTGAGATGACGTCATTTCTTAGTTTGACACGCAGTTTCTCTGTACTTGAGGCGTAGATCAAGGTATTATAGTAGTTTGTAAAAATAGAAATAAATACGACACAGGCTTAATTGGACCAAAATAAAGACATATTCTAGAATATATTAATCCACATTTTATTGTCAAACTGAATTGATAATATGCAGGCTTTTTATATAGCCGTAGGGAGCACATTTGTACAGTAACTTACTAGAATGGGGGATCCAGCCCCTCAAAAATGTCAAGAGTTCAACGATATCCGCTTCACTATAAATTATGAATTTTTAAACACGTGTAGCTATTATTCTTACTATTCTCAAAAGTGCTGGGAGCTGGTTGTGCATTGTTTATTTATTCCGTAATGTAACATTTTTCCAGGGCGTAATACATCTATGTCTGGAGTTTATTAGAAAGACGGCTAAATTTTACACAATTCCCGAGCATGAGGAACTTGCTCCCAGCACTTTTCATGTTAAGAAATTTGTCTCAAACAAAACAGAATAAATTTCATAGTGGAAAGACACCCGTATATCGTTGAACTTTTACGATCTTTGTAATAGTACGTATATGTTCTAATTTTAAACTGCCACGTAACAAATAGCTGATGCAAGCGATGTCGCTTTGGCCAAACTCAGCACAGACCGGATATATACAAGTGCAAACACCACAATTCACAATCCACCTGCCCCACAAGGTGACCCGACCTGACCGGCTTCACATGATTTGATAACGTGACCAACCAAGTTCATTGACCTTGTTACTTATTTGTAATATATATGAAAGTTTCCTTTGTTTTACAGCATAGTGCAGATTCGTTTGATAAAATAACCCCCCCCCCCCCCGTTTTTGGGCGGGAAAAATTTTTAATATCGGAATAAACTGAAAACTGACAGTCATTGAAATTTTCCTATTTCAGTAATAAATATACCCCCTTTTACCATTTTTAGCCGCTCGAATTCGGCGATATGTAGATGTGTTGCACGCTTAATTTTTGACAGGGGGTGCTCTACAAATCTTTCTGAAGTTGCATACACGAAATTTGTGCTTTTGTGGAAAATCAGAGCTCTTACCACAGCATTTTTGGAGTTTTAAAAGATCATTTATTGCAGTGCCCTGTTGTGGGCATTAGGTAGACTAGGCATTCTTTACACAAGATGATAAATATATTTCAATATCGGTCCATTCTTATCAGATACGAAAACTAAAATAATTTCAGTTTTTTCCCTTTGTTTTTATTTATTTTTTTTTTGGAGGGGGGGGGGGGATAGAAAATTTTCAATAAAGACAGGGTCCTTATTCTTTGAACCTATAATATAAAGCACAGAGTATCAAAAAATCATGAAATCATCACAACATGAAAATAAATACCACATCTATAGTATATAAGTAAAATAGATTTAACCTTAGAAAGTTTAATTTTTAATCAAAATTTCTCCGTTGTGTCCCATGATGTGATAAAAGATTATATAGATTTATAAGGAGAAAGGCAAAAAATACGAATTTTGGAAATCATAGAAAATTAACATTTTCTTAATACTTGAAAAATTTATACATGCTTAATTTGCTTATTTTTTAACATAATAAATTTATATATATATATATATATATATATATATATATATATATATATATATATATATATATATATATATATATATATATATATATATATATATATATATATACTAGTATATATATATATATATTTCCATGCATCTTCTTTTTTTGGTCCCAAGTGTCCTTAAGAACGCTATATACACTGCACACTAAAGAGTTCCAATTCCATGGTATTTTTATGCAGTTAGAGTGATTTGCCCTTAGATGTAATATGAAATAAATTGAAATCTAACTTTATTATTCAATTTGTAATCAATTCAAACATTCTAAACATTTTATTTGGTCTAGTTGAATGAATTGAACGCCTTATTTGCATGTATTTTTGCCATTTATGAAAGCAACAGTGATTTCAGTTCACCAACAATTCATTGTCTGAGAATATTTTTCCTGGGGATAAATGGCAGGTACCCTATGTTGAAAATTAAATAGATAAACTCTATATTTATATCTTTATATGATATCTTTTTCAGAACCTAAAAAAAAAATTTTTCATTGGTGTATAGAGGGTCCTTAACTCGAATCTGTCTCTAGTAGTGCAGGAGCAGCATGGTAGGCCGCT